TGAATACATTGTTAACAAATTATGACAAAATGACATTGTTTTCAATTTCTTTATTTTCGTATCAACCTCTTAATGCTTTATAATACTTAATCTTTGAGCAACGATAAATTACACGCATAAAATGTAACACGCGCGCCAAGTATACTATACGCATATGCGTACGCATATCCGTGTAAGTATATATGATACGTGGAAAGCCCGCATGGTTTGTGTATTTAATCTTGACCTGCTTTCCGATTATCGAGGCAGAATTATCATTCCATAGGTACGTCCATCTCCGCGAGATTGTGCCATGCCAAATGTCGATGATCTGGGAATTTGATCGCGTCTATCCAATGTCGAAGACGTGCCCCTTTGCTACCGCAACCTAACATAAGACCGCCTGTAAATTGTATAAATGTATAAATATAAGTATTATCTGTATATATAGGATAATAGAAAACTTTAATTATAGGGACTGACAACTTTGGAATTCTAATTATTCTGATTCAGCAATCATAATTGTGATAATGAAAGAAAAAAAACCGCTATTCTTTATTTGAGATAGAGAAGATAATGTAACTTTTCTGAAAGTTAGATGATAAACAATGTTTATATCTTTAAGTAAATAAGTCATCACATAAATAAATGACAAACAAAATAAATTTTTTCAATCTTAATTTTTCTAGTTACGATTATAAAAATGGATTATATAAAAACTATTTATTTATATTAATTAAATTAAATTTTACTGTTATATCACAGTTAATTTATTTGGTTCAAATAGAATACGAGAGATTTCGGATATATCTTTTAGCAAGGGCGTACCTAACGAATGTGTAACATACGTTACATGTATGCAGTAAAATTATTTTTGCAACTCTTTTTGTGTTCCTCTTTTAAGACCGTAAATTCTTAACATCCGTTCAGAAATAAAAAAAAAAGATATGGAATGAAGTGATTAATATTCACAGTACCCAGATAGTCGTTACTCTTGCCGAAGTCCTTGTCCCACACGGTCAGGCATAGTGTCAATTTCATTAATTCCGTTAAGCGAGTCGCGAAAACGAACTCTTCGTTCCACTCTGGATTCAATGTCTTCCTCTTGATGCTCGTGCTCTGCGAGCCGCGACCGGCCGTCTTCCTCCCGGTCAGCTTTTTGGCAGTAGCGCGAGCGGCCGAGTAATCTAGGAACCGTTGCTGCCGATGATTGTCGGTCGCATCCTCGACGAGTGCCAGTTTGACAAATGGGTCAGAAAACCCGTTGCTGTCCATGGGCAAGAGATTCGTAGCACGGTGCACGGTAACCAGCAGCGCACGTCGACGCGTGCAATAACTCAGGCTTATCTGGATCTGTCCGCGACCGCTTGAACACATACCCCAGGTTTCCTCTTCGTTGTCCACCTACAACAGAATAATTATTGTTGCAGTATGTTGATAAAAATATTTATTTCATATGTTTTATTATTATATATTTTATTGCATACAAATTGTATAAACTTATTTTATAAATAATTAATATTTATTTTAAATGAGAAAGAATGTTCTTATCTTCGTTTGCTTTTTTTGTACTGAATATAAAATACTGAATATAAAAAATTAAATTTGACAAGTTTAATTATATAAAGCATACTTCTGCATTCAACATACTGGATAATGAGCTTGCAGAGATGTTTTG